AGGTCCATAGATTTGAGATAAAGGTCAAGAGATGAAGCACGTGTTTCCTACCTCTAATCCTCAAAAAGATCTTGGGCAATTTATTTACTATAGAAACATAGTAATACAATATCTAAGCTCTTATATTAGGGGAAATCCCCATTTAAAAAGAAATTATGATAATATCAAAGAAAAAAATATACTTGAAATGTGTGAATTAGGACCCATGAGTGGGTGAGGAAATCAATGTAATGAGTTTCCAACATTTCTTTAATGAGGTAAAATAGAATACATATTAGAGCACAGGCAAATAATTGTAAAAGCTTTTATTTTTGCTATTTAGACTTTTTATCAAATATAAGATGGTACCTATCTATTTGAGATGCATGCTAATTTCAGAGATGGTAATGAGAAAGATGGCCAATGGTGATTGTAAGAAATTATTGATTGAAAATTGAAAGATGCGTCCTCGGCTAATGCCCTTTTCAGCCTTAGCCCACCTGCACCCAGGTAAATAGCCATGTTGCTCACACAAAGCCTGTTTGGAAGCTCTCTTCATTCAAAGTGCAGGCTTTTCAACATTTGGTGCCGGACACCCGAGACGGGGGAATTCCCATGGGAAATCAAACCCCTGTCCCTGTTCTTGTGCTCACTCCATGAAGAGATCTATCTACTGACCTGGGGTCATCAGACCAGCCCACAGAGGCACGCTACCGGCTATTCTGGTAAGTACTCTCTCTTTTTCGCTTTCCCATCCTTTTGTCTTTTCCTTTCCATTTCCTCCCTCTTCAGGTTTCATCCTTTTTCCACCGCAAAGACAAGGAAAATCAGGTAAACCAGCTTCTTCCGTGAGGTTCATGACTGGAAAATCCTATGTAGGTCATAGATCTGGGAACCCAGTTTCCCCAGCGGTTTGACTATTGTGGAGACATTCATCATAGTCACTTGCCCACCAGGCTCATGGCTGATACTGGTGGCAGGTCAACATAGAGGACACTCTCTTTGACCAGCCACCAACAACGAGGCTCAACCCAGGCTCAACTAGGGACGCCTTTTGAGCATTTGGGTTGCGTGCCTATTCTCCTTGTCTCTGCTGCCTTTCCAGAACCATGGGTAATCGTCCATCCTCTATCCCTCCCTCCTCTCTGCTGTCCTGTGTTCTAAAAATCCTCAAGCCTCTTCAACTGTCTCCTAACCTAAAACGCAAACGTCTCACCTTCTTCTGTAACACTGCATGGTCACAATGCAAGTTAAATAATGGCTCCAATTGGTCAAAAAAATGGCATTTTCACCCTGTTTTACAAAATTTAGACAATTTTTGTCTCAACACAGGCAAATGGTCTGAAATTTCCTATGTCCAGGCAATTTTTTACACACCAATCCCTCCCTAACCAATCCTTCCAACCTTTCTCCTCTCCACCTGTCCAAACCAGGCCCTAAACCGGAACCTATCGCCACCCCCCAGAGCCTTCCTCCTCTTCCTCTGCCCACAACCCACCTCCTTATGCCCCTCCTGTCACCTCCCCACCTCATATTGGTTACAGCTTACAGTTTAGCCCCTTGGCTACCCCCTCTGCCCCTCCCCAGCAATTCCCCCTTCCAGAGGTGGCTGGAGCCAGTTAAGGTGCACATTCCTTTTCCTTTATTCAATCTTTCCAAATTGGCCACCGGTTAAACTTCTTTTCATCAAATCCTCCAATACTTAACCCAGTCCTATAATCTCACCTGGAGAAACTTAAATGTCATCTTTACTTCTACTCTCACCCCTAAAAAATGCTTAATATGCATTTTATCGCTGGCTCAACCCCAACATTTCAAAACCGTATAGACATTAAAATCTGGCTCTCAAACCCCACTACAGGAATTAAGCAACCTCACCTTCAAGGTATTCAATAATAGGGAAAAATCTGCCGGGCGGCAGCGCATCTCAGAACTACAGATGCTTACCTCTTCCATAAGACAAGCCGCAGCCACACCACCAGCTCACAGAGACTTCGGAGCACCCAGACCGCAGCGCGTCCGGCTGCCCGTCCTGGACCTTGCTTCAAGTGTCAGAGACATGGCCACTGGGCCAAGAAATGCCCGCAGCCCAGGATTTCTCCTAAGCCCTGCCCCATCTGTGCAGGGCCCCCACAGAAAGTCAACTGTCCGACTCACGTCGCTGCTCCCAGACCTCCTGAAGCTCCAGTCCTCAGCTTGGTGGCTGAAAACTAACACTGCCCTAGTAACTCTGAAGCCCCCTCGACCATCACAGATGCCAAACTTCAGGTAACTCTTATGGCGGAGGGTAAGCCCATCCCCTTCTTAATCAACACAGAGGCCGCCCACTCCACGCTGCCTTCTTTTCAGGCACCTGTCTCCTTAGCCTCCATAACTATTGCGGGAATTGATGGCAAGCCCTCCAGGCCGCTCAAAACTCCCCAAGTCTGATGTCAATTAGGTCGGCACTCCTTTCGCCATTCTTTCCTAATCATCCCCACCTGTCCAGTTCCCCGTTAGGCCAAAATATCCTAGCGAAATTGTCTGCCTCCTTAACTGTTCCTGGGCTACAGACACACCTAATTGCTGCCCTCCTCCCCAAACCCATACCTCCCTCAATAGCTCCCCTTATGTTCCCCAACCTTAACCCTAGGGTATAAAACATCACCTTCCCAACCGTTGCTGTAAGTCACTCATCCCTCATCAACACCTTAAAACCTTACCACCCTTACCCTGCCCAACCCCAGTACCCCATCCCACAACAGGCTTTAAAAGTAAAGCCTGTTATCACCCTTAATTGCAACACGGCCTTTTAATTCACCCTCCTGCTTCTTCAGCATCTACACTCAAAGGGGTATCGTGTATCCCCTTCCAAAGCCCAAATTTCTTACCCATCTGTTTTAATCTTTCACCAGCACACATGCGCTCTCCCTGCGAACTGTATCCAGTAAATTTCCCAAACCCCAACCCATCCACCAAACAACAGCTTCTCTCCTTCCTGGGTGTGGTTGCTACTTTCACCTCTGGATAACAGGTTTTGCTATTCTAAGCCATTGTCTGAACTCACTAAAAATCCTTACCCAACTCTACTCATCCTAAATCCTTTCCTCACTCCTCCTTTCGCTCTTTAAAAAACAGTTCTAAAAACTGCTCCCTCCCTAGCTCTCTCCAACAGGTGTCAACACTTTGTCATTAAATACTGCTAAAATCCAGGGCTGTGCAGTAGGGATTCTCACACAGGAGCCAGGCCCATGGCCTGTAGCCTTTTTATCCAAACAACTTAACCTCACAGTCCTGGGCTGGCCCTCGTGACAACGCGCAGCAGCAGCTGCCGCCCTAATACTCTTAGAATCCCTCAAAACCACAGGCTATGCCCCATTTGCCCTCTAGCTCTCACAACCTCCAAATCTTTCTCTTTACACCTCACACCCTTACGCTCAGCCCCTCGCCTTCTCCACCTGCATGCAGTTGCCCTTACTACTTAAACCACACCTCAAAAAGTCTGTTTCTATTATTTTCTGTCTGTCTGTGCTCAAATTCACTGTACTCATTTACTTTTACATGCCCTGCTTTTGTTTAAGTTGCCAGTTCACACATTTCCTCCAGGCAATTACAGCTGATATTTCGCTCCTAATCTGGCTCCTGTTCTCTGTTCAAACCCAATCTTGTTAATAAAAGTGAGTGGTTGCTTATGTATACCACAGGCTTCCTCATACACCATAAAAACAAAAGCTCTCCCTCCACTCAGTTAACTTTCTCTAATGCTGTCTTTCTCCTTCTCTTATTTAAACCCTGTGTTTTTCCAATTAATCTCTCAATTCCTACAAAATTGTATGCAAGCGATAACTAATCAGTCAATACGACAAATGTTCCTTCTAACAACCCCACAATATTAGCCCTTTCCCCAAAATCTCCCAGCAGTCTAAATTCTTTCCCATTTTTAGGTTTCCACCCCGTCCCATATGCCGCTCAAAGAAGCCTTGAGAAACTTCGCCCCCACCCCCTAAAACCTGTTATCACTCCCTCTTCTCTAATTCTTTCTCCCCATGTAAAAGGACAGGTATGTCAGGTCTCCATCTGCAAGCCTGGAGCCTGAAAGTCTGAAGTCCTGCGTGCCTCGGCTGATGTCTCCCACCCCTCGTTCGCCATTGTCCCTAATTGCCCATCATAGTTCTCCCCACAAGCCCCTCACCCAACCCTGCCATCTTAACTGTTCTTATGATAATGTAAATACCTCTCACCTAACCCTGCCATTGTAACTGAACTTGTGGTCATGTATACTCCTTGCCCCTAACCACCACCACTGTAACTGAACTTACTCTACAACACCCCCACCCCCCAAAAAACTTTCCAAACCTATAAAGCCAACTCCTATCCCACTGCCCTTTGCTAACGCCCTTATCGGCCTTAGCCCACCTGCACCCAGGTGAATAAATAGCCATGTTGCTCGCACACACACACACACACACACACACACACACACACCAAAAAAAAAAAAAGATGTTTCCTCTTTCAAAGAGGTTAAAATATGACAAAAAAAATCTTAGAATCAATGCTATTTGGCATCTATATACATAAACATTGGTTTCTGACATTTGAGATCAGCAGGAGCAATGTGGATTGTCCCCCAAAAATATTTGAAAGGCACTATCCCAGGAAATATATTCTCTTTTCCTTAGATTGGAATTGGATGTAACATTTCAAAATTATATATATATATATATATATATATATATGTATGTATCAGACTGTTCAACTACAATGCGTCAAAGAAACTCTTTGATAAATTGAAACTAAAGTAATATTTTCAAAATGGGCACAAGAATTGCACACACATTATGAAGTTGTCAGTTAAGCCGGAAATTAAGCCAACGTAAAACATTTCAATGACCATGAAATGTGACAGCTTATTGAGACTGTATACATCATAATTGAACCAACACAGTCTTTGGTCCCACAAACACCAAGCAACTAGGCAGTCCTGTGAACTCCTCAGTGTCACAGACTCTGACAAATTGTATCAGATTTTCTGTAAGGTAATGATTTATTGTTAGTTACATGTCATCAATACAGTGACATACTTTCAATAATTAAAAATTGAATAATACTGAAATAACCACAGTAGCTTTCAGTATAAATTGCTTAGGTTGTTCTAGAAAACACTGCTAATTTGTTGTTTCTGCAGAATCAAGTATAGAGGTGAGCAGATCGATAAATCTATAAACATCATGGAAAGAATTGTAGAGAGGGACTGGAGCCACTCGAATGCCATTTGGATTCCGCTTGTCACACTGTGGGGGAAAAAATAAAGACACGATAATGTTGTGTTTTTCACACATTGAAAATCTGCATTCGAGATAAACTTATGTAAAGCACTTTCATAATGATTTCCCTAAAAATTAATATATAAGCAAAATGTTTAAATAAAACACGGTGTTTTTTTTCTTAAGTATTTCTCCTAATGCTATCATTCCCCTATCCCCTGACCCCCTGACAGGTCCCTGTGTGTGATGCTCCTCTCCCTGTGTCCATGTGTTCTCATTGTTCAACTCTCACTTATGAATGAGAACATGTGGTGTTTGGTTTTCTGTTCTTGTGTCAGTTTGCTGAGAATGATGGTTTCCAGCTACAACCGTGTCCCTGCAAAGGACATGAACTCATCATTTTCTATGGCTTATGAAACTTCTCTTGATAATAATTTAAGAAATAATAATGGATTGGTGCATGAGTAGCCAAGATAAATTCTGAAATCTATTCAGCAGCTATCTTCCTTAAACATTTAATAGATCATATATAGTGTGTTTTCTTTTTCTTTTTTTCTTGTAGGGACCCCTTGGAGGGATGGAAACTTTGGATCAATTTAAATGAATGAAAACCCCATTGGGGTCTGGAGAGTTTTAGTATATCATCCTTGAACTTAATTCTCTAATCTTTAATCTTGCAGGTAAGAAGTGGGCTACATTCCTGGGAATGCTGATAGGTCTTGAAGTAGCACCAGATACTTTGACATGCCTGGAGATCACTACGGTTAACTTCAAAAACACTTGCTATAGGCTAGACAATATAGTAGATAGTTTATGTGTGCTGTCCCTTTCAATCCAATCACAACCCTTAGAGGTAATTAATTTTAAACCCCAAATACAGATGAAAATTTCAAGCAAGTAGATCCCAATGAACTTTCCCAGGAGGACAGAGCTTGACAATGGCATTGGTTGATTTAGAATCCTGATCTTCTGACTAGTGCCTCCAGCATCTGGGGGAAACGTCTCCTACATGTTTGGAGGTAAACATGAGCCAGCCAGTGCCTTAATTACATTATCATTGGAAGTAGATACATTCTCTTTTTTCCCTGAAATTACTGGTTCACATTTACTTAATTCTCTTCAAGAGACTGAGAAGATCATATAGGGTGAAGGGTTGGAAAAAATTATTCCTATTTTACCAGGGTAATTTTTTCTTAAAAAAAAAAAAAATATTTCTTGCAGTGTTACCACTCCTGAGAAGTGTATATGTATCTTTTTCGACTTAAGTGACAAGGTTGAAAATAACTTAATTTGATCAAGCAACTAAATAAGACTTTCTTTTTTTAACCCTTCAATAAATTGGTATGATCTTTAATTCTATTCATTCAATAAATGAATTATAGCACAGCCTAGTGAAAACAATGTCCTGATTAATTACAATGAAATAGTAATGCTTTCCTTTCTGCAAACTGTTATGAAAAGAATGAGTAAGTCATGAAGAACTATTCCTATAACCCAAGTTTGTGGTATCTTCTATCAGAAATGACAGATCTCTATGCCTTCAGTTAGCACAGTGCTGAGGGCTTATTTGGCACTTAATTTATCCTTAATTCATGGACTGATGTGAAATCACATGGCAACAACAATGAATAAACCAAAGAATCCAAATTTTATCCCCAACACAGAGCCCATAGACAAAATCTAGTAGCAAAGCAAGAGATGTACTTACAGCCACACCTCTTTTTTCTAGTTCTCGGAAAACATCTTTGTTTGGAACAGAAAATGTTATTGTTAGCTGGCAGCCCCGTTCCTCTATATGGGATGGAGTAATTATGTTCACAACCGGTTTCTGGGTTGCTGCTTTATCTTTGCCATACTTATGCTTGATCAGGTATTCCAGATAGCCAGTTAGCAAAATAGATTTCTTTCGCAATGCCTTCATTGTCGCTTGCTTAAAGATCTGTGGAATGAGAAACAATCAGATTAAAGTGTCTTATTGATTTACAAAGAAGCAAAAGTTAAGAGTAAATCATGCATAAGAAAGAAAATGCCCATATTTGACCTTTCCGATAAATACCTCCTTTTACACAATCGTTTTTTGTAAAAAAAAAAAAAAATATTAATTTCTTTTAAATGCTTTGCCGTTAAACAATGAAGGTAAATTTTCCATGATGGAAAAATTGTACAAATGTCACGTAAATAATTCTTGCAAAGGAAGAAAGTGTAAGTTAACATCAGGTACCTGTGGCAGGCCAGGTCTCACTAACACAGGCTTCCATCACAACTGTTTTAGTACTGACTGAGCGATTAAGTTAAATATTAAAAACTTAAAAAGCCAGTGCCCTGATACAAAGGCTGGGATGTAAGGAAAGCCCATCAAGAGTTTTGCCTAGGCCTTTCCTGGGCCTTAAAGCATAACAAAATAATGAAGAAATTCTTAACAGGACTCATTTAGGATTAAACAAGTTTTATATTGGGTCTGAAGAAGCTCCCCAGGCCTCCACAAACAAGTTTACTGAAGTTCTAAAGGAACTCCTCAAGCCTCAGTGATTTAGCAGGAGACAAAATAAGGGTAATCACTCCAGCACCTGGACCCATTTAGATTAAGTAAATTCACTGAGGCTCCAGAGAAAGATCTTCAGGACTCAAACCTTAGTTATAGATTAAAATAAGTTAATCACTTATGTCTTCAGAAGAATGAACACTTACACGTAGATATATAACTTAGACGGTATACAAGCTCTGGAAATCTATAATTTTGAGTTGGTCTGGTGATAATTTCCAGGCCTTCTCCCTGTAACTGGTTACAGAAATAAAAACTCTCTTCCTCCGCCGTTCATCTGCATCTCGTTATTAGGCCACGAGAAACAGCAGCCTGACCCTCAGTTTCATCCGGGAGCATACCTTCACAATTATTTTAAATTAACTTAGTATAATCCAGTAAAACATACCTTAATAAATGCATTTAAATAGCATACAATGTAAGCTTTTCTCCAAAACCACTTTTTGGAATCATAAGAAGGCCTTTCTACTTTGATGTAAAGTTTGTCCCACAAAAAGTGCAAAATGATCTAAATGTTCAGATGTGGAAAGCTGTGTTTCTAGTAATATTTAAAACTGTTTTACTGACTCCTAAATCTCTCCCAGCTTAACAGTAAGAAAACAAGCAGTAAAATAACAACGCTAAGTTTTCTCAGCGAGGGAAGCAAATAACATTAGATAATGCATTTATTTTTATTGAAGCATTTGTGTCATTTTCCCCCTCCTAAACTCTAGCACTGGTGTGAAAATACTGCCATTTGCTGCCTGAGATGTCGTATATTAAGACGAGTGACAAGGGCACGCAGCAACTGGTGCTGGAATATTAGGGGTCAGAACAGATGTGCTTTTCTGGCTTCTCTCTTAAGGTCAAGTAGAGTGTAAAAATATATCCTATGTATAAGAACGGAATGAACTGCAGAGTGTGATGCACTGGCCTGCCACTTAATGTTCCTTTTCTGTGTCATAAGCAAAGATATCAAGAGCAAAGCTAGGGTCACTTGGTGATATCAAGACTTTATCAAGTCTATGAAAACAGTTATTCCTGTATGTACACATGGCATGTGTAGGAAGGCACTCTAATAAAACTCACTCAGCCACAGAGTTCCTGGAACTATACTGCATGGAGGCTACGGATTGGCTGAAGGAGAGGATGGGAACTGTAATGAAGGTAAATAATATCTAAGCAAGAGAGGAGAAACAGAACAGAATAGCGCCTGCCTCTCTCTTCATCCACACCTCCCAGACAATGTCTGAAGCCTACAGTGACAGCTCACGTGTAGGCTGACATGTTGGTTTCATAAGCCTCCAAGATCTGGACTGCCGATAACACTGCTCCAAGACTCAGACAACTTAGATGACACAGAATTTGGTAGGAGGCATCTCTTCATTTTCTTGGGCAAAATAAAATGTAGGTAGACTTGGCATAATGAGGACTCAAGGGGACATGACCAAGTTTTGGGTCAAGGGCCAAGAATCAAAATTCTCCCAGGGGAACAGGGACAGGCAAGGCACAGACCACAGCTGGTTTTGCTGTGAGGTTTGAATAAAAAACTATGTGAGAAATCTTTCCAAGATTCTCTCTGGAGTTTAATAATATTCTAGGAAATTTTGTGGTTCTGCTATGGGTGCCCTACTGTGTACATAGGGGCAATCAATGCATGAGGTATCACATTTAATGATAGTTTATTTGTATTCATAGGTTAGCAAAACTTTGAGGAATGTTACTTGCATTTAGTTTTTGAAGGGGCTTGGAGGTGTTGCTCTTACAGCTTTCTCTGGATAACTAGAAACCAAGTTTTTCTGGTATGACGAATAGCTTGCATCTTAATATACTGGAGAATGTTGTCACTCTTTAATAATAAAGTAATTTTAAAATATAAAACATATTTTCCCCATTACAACCACAATAAGGGCAACTGCATTCTGAGGCACTTTTAAATTCATCTCACACAGGGTAAAAGTCTATTCTGAGCCTCACATAAAAATACTGAGAGAGAATAATAGGGAAGTAACATAAATATTCTATTTGCTTTTTTGTTTCTCATACATTTTATGTGTTCACTATTGAAAAAGAATAATTTTTTAAAATTAGAAAGAAACGAAAATTGTAGTTTGAAAAATGTTCAGCTTAAAAGATAATTCTTGGCAGAGTTTCAACTACTTGCATTATTTTTTCTTACTGACTAAATGAACATGAAACTAGAGAAGCCAGATAAGTTTTAACGGGAAAAATAAGTTTAGTGTGATGTTTTCAATAGTCATATTTTTCTCTTAAATTCTTAAAACTGGCTCCCTAGTAACTCTGAAAGGAAACATACAGTACATTTCTTTGTTGAGTCTTCTGACTCAGCATGTATTTTAATTGACTGCTCTGATTTTGTATTTTGAAGCTATTTATTTCATTACGAAGTCAGAATACTCAAAGGGGCTAAAACTTGTCTACCTATTGCTATATATAGATATGAACCTTCAAAATATATGTATTGTTTACATTTAAGTAATTTGAAAATTGAGGAGACTTCTGAAATAATCTTGTCCAAATATCTTACATTAAAAAATAAGGCAAATACATTCAAAATGACTCATTGCTTGTGTGAGGCCATACTTAGTGTCCAGTGAAGGAGAGAGCACTTGCCTCCAGCTTCCCGGCCTCAGGCCCCATCCCTTCATCCATAATATTTTAAGAATTATTATATAAATGATTCAGATCCAAAAATATAAATAAAAGGACAGTTTGAAACTGATTATAACATGCTATTTTAATATAAATCAACCATATACACATGCTTTTATAAAAATCCATATTAATATATTTTTTAAAAGTCATTGTATTAAAAATCTAAGGTCTTATTTATATACAATTAATCCTTAAGTATAAAAACTCTCCTCCAGTTCATATTTGACTATGTTAAATATTTCTCAAAAGAAAAGTAGAGACAACAAAGAGGCAGTTTGATGCATGCGTTTACTTCTTTCATTTATTCAAACTTCAACCACATATCTTCTACAATGGAATAAACTTGTTTAAAAAGATAGGGTGGCTGAGTGTAGTGGTTCACGTCTGTTATCCCAACTGCTCAGTAGGCTGAGGCAGGAGAATCACTTGAGGCCAGCAGTTCCAGCCCAGCATGGACAAAATAGCCAGACCTCATCTCTAAAATGATGAAAAAATAAGCTGGGTGCAGTGGCATGCCCTGTAGTCCTAGCTACTAAGGAGGCCGAGGTGGAGAGGATCGCTTGAGGCCAGTAGTTCAAGATTGGGCTGGGGAACATGGTGAAATACTGTCTCTACAAAAAATACAAAAATTCACTGGGCGTGTTGATGCACTCTTGCAGTCCCAGCTACTGTGGAGGCTGAGGTGGGAAGATCAACTAAGCCCAGGAGGTGGAGGTTGCAGTGAGCTGAGATCCCGTCACTGCACTCTAGGGGTGACAGAGGGTGTCCCTGTCTCAAAAAAAAAAAAAAAAAGAAAAGAAATAAAATAAAGAAATAATAATCAGCCACGTGTTGTGGCGCAGACCTGTAGTCCCAGCTACTCAGGAGGCAGAGGCAGTAGGATCACTGGAACCCCAGTAGTCTGAGGCCATGGTAAGCTATGATTGTGCCGCTGCACTCCAGCCTGAATGACAGAGCGAGACCCCATCTCTAAATATACATAAATAAAATTTAAAGGAAGATAAGGTAATTATTAATGGAAACATTGTTAATTCATGGATGCTTACATCAGAAGCCCATAAATGTCTAGAAAATAGGATGTTTTAACAGAGAACGGGAAGCAATTCGATGCATTAGTTTGTCATTTAAATATTTTGCACTTTACAGTTGGAAATAATTTTGAAAAACACTTTTACCAAAATAAGGCTTGATTAACTAAAGAATTTTGGTTAGAACATAGTCTTGGCAGTGAATGAGCAGTAAGAGGCTCGAGAGAAATTCTAAGTGAATTAAAAGCTCCAGAGACATGCATATGCTTCTTCTTGTGGCTTTTAGGGTTTTAAGTTTAGATATTAACTGGGTAACAAAAAGTACAAAAATTAGCCCGGCATGGTAGTGTAGATCTACAGTCCCAACTACTCAGGAGGCTGAGGTTAAGTTTAGATATGAAAAAGAAAAACAAAATCAGTCCTCAGATTATAATTGAAAATAAAAACTTTGTCTAGGTGACCCTTAATACAATGTGGTAGGAAAACAGTGGTAGGAAAAATAAGAATGTGCCTTTTTCCCCACAGCAGAAGGCTGAATACTACTAGATAAGCCAACCCACTGCAGAAAGTACGCCAAAGTGAGGATGTCTAAAAGGAAATTTCCAGGTACGTCTGATAAGTTATTTGCAAAGACATGGTCCTTCAGAAGAAATTACTTGAGGTACAAGCTCTTCCTAAGGTATGTCATGGTGCTTCTGATATTATTACATATCTTCTACCAGATACAAACTTGGAACGAATGCAGAAACTTAATTTTGTTTTAAAATGTTGAAACAAAATATTTCTATGAATGGATATTACAAAAACAACTCAAATATCATTATCTGATTTACTAAGCAGGTTTTTACTCAAAGAAACTTTCAAAAATATATATCACTGACTGAAAAATCTCGTTACTGTGTCTATTTTCCAGGAAAAAAATGCTGCCATGAAGTCAAAACAGCACAAGCTCCATCTAGTGGTTAAACTGAGTGGGTGCGCTTTAAATTGGGATGGAATGAAATGAGGTAATTATCACTATCCAGTGGTGAATTTAATAAAAACAGAGGAACTTGATGCTGCCATCCAGTGGCCAGAATGAGAAACTGCTACACGTGTTCACAGAATTATGCCATTTTATTAGAAGGAATTTTGAATCTTCATCCTGTCACTCATTTGATGCTGGAGTCCTCTATAAGTTTTTGCTAACATATCATAAACTACATGATTTTAGAAAGAGATATGAAAAATGTCAAATCCTTTTTCGAATAGTTCTTTATAAAACCTCTATTAGAAATATATACACACATTTACTTAAAATATATTTTGCTTAAATATATGTATACAGGCCAGGTGCAGAAGCTCACACTTGTAATCCCAGCACTTTGGGAGGCCAAGGCAGACGGACCATCTGAGGTCAGGAGTTCGAGACCAGCCTGACCAACATGGAGAAACCCAGTCTCTACTAAAAATACAAAATTAGCCAGGTGCGCTGGTGCATGCCTGTAATCCCAGCTACTCCAGAGGCTGAGACAGGAGATTCACTTGAACTCAAGAGGTGGAGGTTTCAGTCAGCCAAGATCACGCCATTGCACTCCAGACTGAGCAACAGAGTGAAATTTCGTCTCAAATAAATTAAATAAATAAATAAATAAATGTATACAAAATATATATTTACTTAATATATATTCACATTATTATTAATTATATACTATATAATTACCTACATATTTTTGCTTGACTGCATTTAGTCTAATCATAAATAATAGTATCTAAGGAGTCACAATTTCATTTTCTTGTTATGTATATCTGTCATTTCAGCGTAAGACTAAATTTACCTAAATAAAAATAGAAATTAATTTAAAGGAAAATGTTGAGTCAGTGATAGTGAAGACTATAAATCGACATAATGTCATAGAAGTCCCAATTAAAAAATAAAAGAAAAATCATAAAACCATCCTACGTCATGAGACAACCTTGTTTAATCTTTGGTTTACTCTGATTATTCATTAGTTTTCCTTCAAGTAAGTCTTTCCTAGCTTTGTCAAGTGGCACTTGGTCAATTCATTCATCTACAATGAGCTAGAAGCAGCACAGTCCCCAGTAATTACATCAGGCACGCAATATTTTCTCAATAAATTTATGTTGAATAAGTGAATTTATAAAGAACTAAATATTTCGTGCTTATTTAGTATACAGAGAGACTAAAAGAAGGTTAAATAACTTATTCATGTTTAAACAGATTCTAAGTGGAGTAAAATAATGTATTTCCCCCAAAGAGTTCCATTTAATATTTACTGTGTGCCAATAAAGTGCCAAGCATTGTGCTGGCAGCTGGTGACATGAATGAAGGGAGACCCCCACCACAACATCACTGTCCTAAAGGGGAATGCTGCCTTCTTTCCCTTGTTCATGCACAGTGCACATGTATCATCTTCCTGTGTAGCAGAGAAAGTACTACAAACTTTCACAGTCAGATCAGGAAAAAAGGCAACTATGTGGGAAGGTTGAAACATACATCACTTACCTCTAAACTAGCATGTAAGGAAGAGACCAACAACATGGGAGGATTTGAAACTCGGAATCCACAGACCCCAGGGATTAACTGCAGTTCTGAGAAAGTAATATCATGTCATTATCAAAGAGGGTAACTTTAAAAGTGTCCATAAAATTACTAAAGTACTAGAGAATGAAAGAGCAAGATTTAAACTTTTATTTCTGGGTAGGATTTCTGAGATATTTAAGATAAACTCCATGGAGCTAAAATATCGTTATTTCCCCTTAACCAGCAATTCCCACCTCCCTTGTCCCCACCTTCTTAGTAGAACACCAGAAATCTTAGGCCCAAAGTAAAAATGACCTCTTCTGGAAGTTTCTCTGGATCCCATCTTTCTCTGCCTTCCTATTCCCAACCCAGAATTTCTTGTTCTGCTCAACCTTTGCTTTCCTGTTATGAAACCATGTCAATGAGAGAGAGCATCAGTTTGGAGTGACATGTAATTGTAATGTCACCCGAAGGCAGAAATATGAATGAAATGACCTATGAAGGTGACTTTTAGCTCTAGGATTGTTAGGTCAAGTGGTTTCTGTTAGAAAACACACACACACACACACACACACACACACACACACACACACACACAACAGAGGGGGCTTTAAAAAAAAGATCTGCCTAAGTATAACATATGAAAAAGGTAAATTAATAGCAGATACTCTCCTAATTAAGTCGAATGAACAGTAGCAAGTTAAATTCAATAGGGTTAAGATGGCTAGTCAGAGATAACACTATGACTGACTAAAAGAATGTTAAAACATGATGACTCTTTATATAGTCATCAAATCCAATATTAAGCAAATCATGGTGATATGGCTTGGCTCTGTGTCCCCACACAAATCTCATCTTGAATTGTAATCCCCATATGTCAGGAAGGGACCTGATGTGAGGTTGATTGGATCATGGTGGTTGTTTCCCCCATGCTGTTCTCATGATAATGAAGGAGTTCTCAAAAGATCTGATAGTTTTAAAAAAAAGCAGTTTTCCCTAAGCCCCCTCTCTCTCTCTCTCTTTCTCTCTCTCTCTCTCTCTCTGTCTCTCACCTGCCACAACCTCAGATGTGCCTTACTTTCCCTTTGCCTTCTGCCATGATTGTAGGTTTCCTGAGGCTTCCTCAGCCATGTGGAACTGTGCATCAATTAAAACTCTTCCTTTTATAAATTACCCAGTCTGAGGTGGTATCTTTACAGCAGTGTGAAAGCACACTAATACATATGGCCATATGGCCTGTGGGCCAAATTTGACCCACTAGTTTGTTTATGTTTTTGAGACAGAGTATCACTCTGTCGCCCAGGCCAGAGTGCAGTGACTCAATCTTGCCTCACTGCAGCCTTGACCTTCCCAGGCTTAGGTGATCTTCCTACCACAGGCTCTCAAGTAGCTGGGACTACAAGTGCATGCCACCACTCCTGGCTAATTTTTGTAGTTTTTGTAGAGAGGAGCTCTCACTATGTCACCCAGGCTAGTCCCCAACTCCTATGATCAATTGATCCATCTGCCTTGCCTCCCAAAGTGCTGGGATTACAGGTGTGAGTCATCATGCCCAGCCCTGTTTTTTTAAAACACAGCTCTGTGAAAACATAGCCACAATCTTTCACGTATGTATAATCTATGGCTGCTTTACCACCACAATGGTGGAGTTGAGTATTTGCCACAGAAACTGTGTAGCACAGAAAGCTTAAAATATTTCCTGTCTGGTCCTTCACAGAAAAAGTTTGCTACCCCTGATCAAATTCAATTCCTCTATTTCCAAATAAGAAAACCCATCTCAAATAATTTAAATAACCGGCACAATAACATCTAATTATTTTAACAGCCAAAGTAAAACACAGGTATCCTTACTGGACTGGAATATCAAGTCTTGCAATTTGGTTGCTGCAAATCTGAACACCAATGGGTCCTGACTTAATAATTTGACTAAAAATTGTCCAATTTTACAGTGATACAAAAGTGGTACATCTTCAGTAGAAGCCATACTCTGAGTAGCCATACGCCCATTCCGTTTTTCACTTTTAGTATAGTATTCAATACATCATATAATATAGTCAATGCTTTATCATAAAATAGGATTTGTGTTAGATTGTTTTGCTTAACTCTAGGCTAATGTAAGTGTTTTGAGTGTGTTTTAAGGTAGGCTAGGCTAAGCTATTATGTTCCATAGATTAAGTGTATTAAATGCATTGTTTACCTAAGATAGCTGCAGCTTGTGATAGGCTTATCAGGAAATAATCTCATTGTAAGTCAAAGAGCATCTGTATAGACAAAATATTATTTTAGGGCTGGGTGTGGTGGCTCAGGCCTGTAATCCCAGCACTTTGGGAGGCCAAGGAGGGTAGGTCACGAGGTCAGGACTTCAAGATCGCCTGGCCAAGATGGTGAAACGCCGTCTCTTCTAAAAATACAAAAATTAGTTGTGGTGGTGGGTGCCTATAATCCTAGCTACTCGGCAGGCTGAGGCAGATAATTGCTTGAACCCAGGAGGTGGAGGTTGCAGTGAGCAAAGATCATGCCACTACCCTCCAGCCTGGGCGACACAGCAAGACTCCATCTCAAATATATATATATATATATATATATATCTCAGGCCAGCTTGGGCAGCATAGTGAGACCTCATCTCTACTAGATATAATAATAACAATAAGGCAGTCATGGTGGTGCACACCTATAGTCCCAGCTACTTAGGAGGAAAAGGCGGGAAGATTGCTTGAGCCAGTGATATCAAGGCTGAACTGAGCATGATTGCACCACTGTACTCCAGCCTAGTTGACAGAGCTAGACCCAGTTTCAAAAAATAAAAATTAAAAAATCAATAAAAAATGAAAAATTTAAAACAATATCTCAGGATTTAAAGCAATCTGAAGGATCAAGTTTATGTTGAACCCTCAAAGCATTTATGATCTTTCTGTATCCCATATGGTTGGGAAATAGGGTCACTCAGGAAAAAGCAACGATGCATGGTAGAGTTTCATTTCTGTCTGCTGGGGTTAACTGCTCACAGGAATTGCTATACTCTTTGGCACACGGCTAAAGCCACAAAAGGAAAATATTTTGGAAAAAGAGGAATGAAATGACTATTTATTAAGGCACTGCTATGTCCTGCTTGCTTATTGTTTTGAACTTGACTAACCCTAAAACCAAATTTTTAAATAGATTTTATTATTCACATTAGGTAAGTGGGAAAGAAAAAACCATACAAGATGATATAACTTGTGCAGGATCAAAAAACTATTAAGCAGCACAGTGTGATTAACACCCAAGTCTTTCTACATCTGACTCCAAGCTGCAAATTCCCTCCTGTCCTCTGTGCCCAACGTTTCGGGCACTCCGTGTTGATGGCATCTGGCCAAGCCACATGACCCTTAACATGGACTTCTTTTTCTTTTACCCCCCTACTAAGGGATAAACTCAAGATCATGCTAAAATCTATAAATTTTTAGTCTTAAACTCTGGATATGTCATTTCTTATTTGAGAGTTCTCAGTGACATTTTCGAAGTGCACTCTCCCTGGGGCATGCACATTACACATAATATAAAGACAGATGAAAATTGAAATAAAGTTAAAATAAAATGACTTATTAGGCAAAATAAATATACTTACTGTTATCCATCTTAAATCTGGTGCTGAGTTCATGGCCAAACCATCCCACTAATCTAAAATATAAATAAAAACATTAGATTTTTTTTTTTTTTTGAATGGAGTCTCACTCTGTTGCCTAGAGTAGAGTACAGTGGCATGATCTCAGCTCACTGCAATCTCTGCCTCTTGGATTCAAGTGATTCGTGTGCCTTAGCCTTTCAAGTAGCCGAGACTACAGGCATGCATCACCATGCCTGGCTACTTTTTGTCTTTTTAGTAGAGACAGCGTTTCGCCATGTTTACCAGGCTGGTCTGAAACTCCTGAGCACAAGTGATTCATCAGCCTTGGCCTCCCAAAGTGCTGGGATTGCAGGTATGAGCCACCGTGCCTGGACATAATATTTTGATCTATAAAAATAAATACTACAAATTTAGAAATCTGGGGCCTGCATTATAAAGCTATTTGTGATATAAGTCATCAAATACTTCAGCAGATAAAATGCTATATGGTATCATAAGGTGATTAATATTTATAATGTTAAGAATGAGGATAAAAATCTACCTATCTATATGATTAGTTATTTTATTTTTGTGTGGATTATCAACTTAACAGTTATAGTTAATGACCACTTTTTATTTAAAATAAAATGAACAAAAATATTAAGTAACTTTCTATTTTAAAATTAAGCTAAAAGCTCAAAAGGTAAAACAATATGATATTTTCACAATAGAATCTCTAAAGAGAAATGTACCCCCAAAACCCATATAATTGTTGAAAATTTTAAAAATAATTTTCTAAAGAAATTGGTTGCTTTCCTATTGTTTTAAAGAATGTGAAATCAGTCAGATATAAAATACAAAATATACAGGAAAAATCATATACATGTGTATATATTAGATGAAAAAGACTACAAACCAATTTAGACAAAAATATAAAAAATTTAGAAAGAGAGTGAATTTGAAATGGAGAGTTCTGGCAGGAAATAACTGGAAATCAATGACCATTATCTTTTTAAAAATAATTTTTTTAAATCATAGCATAGTTTTAAATTTACTGAATTATTGTAAATATTTATTTACGGTAAATTAATTATCTGTAAATAATATTTTAGTTTTAGCGATGTCTAAATAAAAATTCTAAAGCACTATTTTTTGGGACATGACAAAATGTTTTAAAATTTATATAGACTATATGGGTGAACATAACAGATTTTGAAATAGAAAAGTTTAGAGAGGAATATGCTATATTATCTTATAATAGTGGCTTATATTCTTTATATGATAATATAGCAGATTATAAAATGCAGTACATGAATAAGAATGATTCTGATAAAACTAATCAGTGAGACAAATGAGTTAGGACAGTAAATACAGAAACAGTCCTCAGATCATGTCACAATTATGACCTCTTATGACATTTCCAAAATGCAAAAGTGAAAAAATATATTTATATTCTCATGATTTTCAAAAGAGAAAATTCTAAGTATAAAACAGAAGAAGATTCAAAAGAATATACCAACAGATTTATAAACATTTAAATTCTGTATTAAAAAGATGGACAAAATTGGAAGACAAACTAGAGATGGAGAAGAGGAGTGATATTTGTCCCATACCAAAGAGTCTTTACACTAAGAGGTTTTACCAAGAAAAAGGACAATGTACCAACAGCGACCTAGCCACAGAGCATGGACACGGCTTATAAAGGAAAAACGTCCATGTCCCATGAATCCAGGAAAAGCAAACAAAACAAACAAAAACACCCCACTGTCACTAATGTTTCACACTATAATGTAAAGATGACACCATATTTTATGTATCAAACATGCAAAATGATTAAAAAATTATTGTAAATATTTTTATTAAAGATTCAATGAAAAGGAAATCAGCCACTTGTTGAATAATGATAATAAAGTACTAAAATATTTCTGGAGGACAATTTAAGAAGATATATGGAAAATATGCATTGTTTTCTGTCCCAGAAATTTTACTCCTTCCAATTTATCTAAATTGGGTTACACTGTTTGGATTACCCTATTTGAAGTACGCCAAGATTTGTATACTAGTGATGGGGAAAGTGGGCAGAGAAAATCTAAGTAGAAAAGAGTGGGTCCCCAAGGAATCCCCACCCTCAAGCCAAAGAGCCAGAAATCACAGTCCAAAGTGAGAAATTCTATCCTGTTTTCTCACTCAAACGTTGCCTTTTCCTAAACCACCCCATCCTGTGCCTATATAAATCCCAGACTCAGCCAGTAGACAGGATACAGCTGGACATCGGAGAGAAGTACCTTGACTTCCAAGGGACAGCTTGGCAGCATAACTTTAGAGAATAATCTGGCTAGAGACAGCCAGACTTCAGGGGAAGGCTACCTACCCATCCCATCCCCTTCTCAGCTCCCCTTCCCGCTGAGAGCCACTTTCACCGAAAACAAAATTCCCCACGTTTACCATCCTTCAATTTGTTTGCATGACCTCATTTTTCCTAGACACCAGACAAGAGCTTGGGAGCCATCAATGTAGGCATGAAAGGCTGTCACACTGGCCCTTTGCCCTCACTGATGGAAGGCAGCCGCCTCTTGTGAAAAGGCAGAGGCCCCACTGAGCTGTTAACACAAGCCTACTGAGGACAGCAGAGCTAAAAGGGCACTGTAACATGCCCTCTGGGGCTTTGAGAGTCGCAGGCACCCCCGCCTGGACTCTGCTGTGGGGCCTGCAGGGTCTTCACTCCTGCCGGTTCTGAAGCATCGGGCCAGTTCCCACACCGGCTCACCTGCGCGTTCCCTCCCACGAGGGGCGGAACGCTGAAGGTCTGAGTGAGTGGGGTTTGATCCTACCAGCGCCAAAGTGGCCAGCCAATTCCGGCACTCAATCATTTCAGCTCCCGTCCTGTACTCGTTCGCTCGTAAGGAGTTGAGACAGCGGGCTGAGCAAACGAGTCACCCCTATCACGAGTTCCGCAAGGGGTCAGGAGGATATCCTGCTTCATTAGGACAATTAACACAATACAATTATCTGCGTCAAAACCACCTAAATATCTTGTAATGGAGAACTGATATAAACAAATTACACCATGGCATATGAAGGAGTACGCTGCAGCCATTATAAAAACCCTATTTAAAATAATATATACACAAAAAGATTGAAATGGCGATCACAATATTTGGAGTGTGATTCTAGTTTTAAAACAATAAAATGTATGCATTTATATTTAACTATGGCCAAAATGTTAAATATTTAAATTTATGCTTTATTCTTATGTTTTTCAGATTTTTCTTAAAGATCACATATTGTTACATCAAAGAAAGTCTCTAATTATCATTTTATCTCCTCTTTATTAGTCCAAATTTATTTTAATTTCAAAAATATCTTATTTCATGCATTTTGCATATAGTTTTATAGAATTAATTAGCAGAGTCTAATTAATTGTGCAAAATGATTAATTTTTTAAAACCCATCACTTAAAAATACCATACAGTTCTTATTAACTTATTAAAATTCATAGTGTACCAGCCAAGGCATACCTTTCAAACCTTATTTCTAATCTTTATTGTCTCATTTCAAGTAATTCATTATGAGAATCTAATAATCCTCCCTTTTTGTCCCCACTCGTTCTTCTGCCTATAATGATGATACTGGGTGGAATCTGCATAGGGGGAACTGAAAATAATCAGAACAAAATGGTAAAAGCTCAAGTGATGGAATATCTACTGAAGTTCCAGTTTAAAAAAAAATAATAAAAATAAAATTCTCTAAAGAAAAGACAAGGTGCCCAATTTGAATTTCAAAAGCTATACCCTTGATACAATTATGCGTATAGATACAAGAGAGCAGGGCCATTTTTAGAGCAGCAGTTACATTATGTATCCTGCAGAAAAATGAAGCACATCCATATAAAGAATCAACAGGAGCCCTAAGAGATGGAAATAGTGAACAAATGAAGGGTTACAATATCCTTTCTCCCTTAACTCCCCCAAACTGCTAATCAGGGAAATTTCAACACGATCAGCGAACAATGAAAAAAGAACTGAATATAGCACTAACACAAAGATTTTCCATGAAAAATTGGAGAAATCTACAAACAGATGAAAAATATGCATCAGGAAAAGATTGCCTGAAAGTGGATGAGAAATGTAATGAAAATGAATAACTCAAGAAAAAAACAGAAGCTTAATGAAATATTATTACATGAGTTTGGAAAAAGGCAAGTAAAAATGTAGCAGTAGAATGGATATATCTGGGAAGAATTAGAAAAGAAAAATAAAGCACATAAAAGAAAGGAACAAAGATTTGAAAAACTGCAAGAAAGGCAGGATACTGTGGAAAAACTAGCAAGGATAAAAAAGAGTTGTGAGAAAAAATAAACAAAAAGATATATTTAAAATCATTTAGATAGAAAATGACAAATTTAGTAAACAGATAAATAAGTTTTATCATAATCCAAATGAGTTTCCAAAGAAGAAGATCATAAAATAAATTTTCTTAAAGTTATGATTCAAGACAACTTTGATGAAATAAAAACGATCTGAATCTACATTGAAAAAATACAACACATGGACACAGGGAGGGGAGCATCACGCACTGCGGTCAGTTGTGGGGGGTGGGAACTAGGGGAGGGACAGCGGGGGCTGGGGAGTTGGGGACGGGTAACATGGGGAGAAATGCCAGATATAGGTGATGGAGTGGAATGCAGCAAACCACATTGCCATGTATGTACCTTTGCAACAATCTTGCATGTTCTTCACATGTACCCCAAAACCTAAAACATAATCAAATACACACACACACACACGCACACACGCACGTACACACCATCCTCTGAGTTAGGTGGGAGGAATTAACTCAGAATGGTCAATTTTGTTTACTGTCTATTAAAATTATTGGATTTTAAGGATAGAGAAAAATTGGAGTTCCACTCTAAAAAGGTTAAGTCAGAATAAAGAAAGAAATGTCAGACTGGCTTCAAATTTATCAAATGCAACCATTCAATGACGAGGCTAATGTAGAAATACATGTTCAATGCTGAGAGAAAAAAAAAACATGATACATGAATGCTATGTTTCACTATGTAGAATTGTAT